TCCTCGTATTTCTCATCCAGCCTGGACTGTGGCCCCACCCACCCTCATAGCACCAAACATGTCCTTGGCAGATCTTCTTACTATCCTGGCAGAGACGAATCTGTCCACCTAATTCACCACCACGCCTCGTGGGTCCACGTGCAGAACCACACTGCTCTCTCATCTGAAGGGACACGCTGGAAGCGTTCTTGAAGACGCAGTGCTGAGTTCAGCAACTTCTTTGTTCTATACCCACAGCCTCAGCCTCTCCCCTCATACAGACTTCAGCTCAGAAATTCAAGATGACTTGTGTGTCTCTCCCATAGACAGGCTTTTGGTGCATAGAATTGGATTTGTGTATTTGTAATCCTGATCTACGTGCCCATGACACCTAGGGATGCTGTAAGAGGCATAGAAAGAATGATCACTTGTGTGTCTCTCCCAAAGACAGGCTTTTGGTGCATAGAATTGGAGTTGTGTATTTGTAATCCTGATCTACGTGCCCATGACACCTAGGGATGCTGTAAGAGGCGTTGAAAAGAATGACCGCATGAAGGGCCGGGCTGGTGGGCGATCCACAGCAACAGGAGAAATGAACAGCCCTCTCCTGCAGGAACCTAAGGTTTTTCTTTTTAAGACAGAGTCTCATCCTGTCGCCAGGCTGGAGTGCGGTGGCACGATGGTACCATCTGGGCTCATTGCAACCTCTGCCTCCTGGGTTCAAGTGATTCTCCTGCCTCAGCCTCCCAAGTAGCTGGGACTACAGGTGCACGCCACACCCGGGTAATTTTTTTCATTTTTTAGTAGAGACAGGGTTTCACTGTGTTGGCTAGGATGGTCTCAATCTCTTGATCTCTTCATCCGCCTGCCTCGGCCTCCCAAAGTGCTGGGATTACAGGCATGAGCCACCGCACCCGGTCTTTTTAAGGAGGAGGATATAACACACAGGCCCATTGTTTAACCACGGAGAGCCACAGAGAGCGAAAAGATAGCACGAAGTCTCCGCCCCTATGAAAGCCATTAGCATGCGCGAGTGATCATTTAAAAATGCATTTGAGGTTTCAGAATTTTCCACTTCTAAAATGGATCTCTGTGCTTTTGTGGTCATTGTCTAGCCCTCCTTGGGGTGAATGCACGGAATTATTCTGTTTTTTATATGTCTTTATGGATTCAGTTATAATGCCTAGACTTTACTCTGGGAAACTTCAGGGAAAAAAAAAATAGTTACATACTAATCTCCAACTTTAATAAATCCCCTTGTTTTCACCTATTTAGAAATTCTTCTGTTTTTGTAAGAGGAGTATTTTCTGAGTGAATAAATCCAGAGGTAAGTCCTGGCTTTGTCAGTTGCCCAGATTTTTTGTTGTTGTTGTTTTGTTCTGTTTTTTTTTGTTTGTTTGTTTGTTTTGAGATGGAGTCTTACTTTGTTACCCAGGCTGGAGTGCAGTGGCGCGATCTTGGCTCACTGCAAACTCTGCCTCTCAGGTTCAAGCATTCTCCTGTCTCAGCCTCCTGAATAGCTGGGATTACAGGCCTGTTGTGGGACTTCACTTCACCTTGTGATCGTGTGAATCAATACTCCTTAATAAAATCCTCTTTATATATACACCTATCCTGTTAGTTCTGTCCCTCTGGAGAATCCTGATTAATTCACTAATCCTATGCAATGCCCCAGAAAACATGATAAAACTTACTGCTCTGCCACCGTCATCTAAGACAGTCTACCAGCCAATATGCCAGCATGTCCACAAAACATGGACACTTGGAAACGTAAGTCTACTGCCCTCATAGTCTGTGTGTTAGTTACCCTAACAGGTCAGCTGCAAAGTGCACCTTCACCAAACACATGAGAAATAGACAGCATTTTATTTATGTAATAGAGTATAGAATAAGAAAACTGCATTGCAGATTTGGAGAGAAGATCCTGGAGTACGAAAAGGTAGATAAACACACAAAGGTTATAACCACAGAATAATTCAGGCCAGAACATAAGAAGGGACCTTTAGAAATGAGAGTAGGTACTTGTAATAAGAAAACAGAGAAGGCAGCAGATTGCAATCCAGGCCTTCTTTTCATAGTACAGAAAAATAATTTTCTTATAATAGCACACATTTCTCTTAGGAACACCCTGTGTTCTTCAGTTTTTCCAAGCATCACTCAGTCCTCTTCTCTTGGCAGACAGGAGGCTCAAATCAATCTCTCCGTAATCACTTCTGTCTCCCGGGAAGCTGTGTTAGCTTGTTCCCCAATCCCTCATGAACACAGGCTCTTGTCTGAAGGGTCCTAAACAAGAACGGCTTTCTTAGAGTCGCTTTCATTTTCTCAGGAAGCCATTATAAATGGTGCAATATAGAGACGTCCTCGGTGCATTGTGGCTAGTCGATATTTTTGGCTAGGTATCTGATCTCCCTCGTGATGTTGTAAGTCTTCAGGTACTACATACCTAGTGATAAAACATGTGGTCTCTTGGAGCGATTACCTAATGTCTTGCAGATGTGGTGTTATCCCCATCAGCTCACTGGTCATCCCACTGAAGAATCCATGCTGATGATTCTAACCACTGGCAACAGTACTAACCTGGTCCTCTTACAGTACCTTCAGCATCATGTCTATAATGTTGAATTAACAAGTAAAAATAATTTGTGAGGATCTTAAACTAGATCAAAGGTTTTCATTAATCTGCACTGAAAATGTATAAATTTAAGGATTTTTCTTTTTTTTTTTTTTTTTTTGAGATGAAGTCTTGCTCTGTTGCCCAGGCTGGAGTACAGCGGTGCTATCTCAGTTCACTGCAACTTCCACCTCCTGGGTTCAAGTGATTCTCCTACTTCAGCCTCCTCAGTAGCTGGGGCTACAGGCACGCACCACCACACCTTGCTAACTTTTGCATTTTTAGTAGAGATGGAGTTTCACCATGTTGGCCAGGCTGGTCTTGAACTCCTGACCTCAGGTAATCCACCCACCTTGGCCTCCCAAAGTGCTGGGATTACAGGCGTGAGCCACTGTGCCCGGCCAAATTTAAAGCTTTTTTATGATGGCCAACGTAGTCAACATGTGAAGTGCAAAAATTGGTGACAGTTTCAGCGATGATGACATGTCACTGAATTCAGGGGCCACGATATCTAGACTGCCATCATTCGGAGTCATTTATTGCATAGAAACACCTCAGCCATGATGTTTAAGGTTATATGTAAACTCATCATAATGTAACATGAAAAAAAATACTTTGTTCTGACTAAAATATCAGATAAGGGCAGGAATAGACCAACTCAAGAATTCTATAATCTATCTACAGCAGGATGATAGCACACAATGCAATAAGGAGAATTATTACCTGAATTTAGCTGTCCTGATACATTCACTAAAAGTCTAAAATGTTTCCATTTTTATTATGTTATAGTTGATACTTTGCTAACAATACTGTCTTTATCACCAATATAATAAACTGTGTAATACTCCACTCTCAAACTCACATTCATCCATCACAAGTGTTTGCTCAGTGATGTGATTCTAGTGCTGCTGAAGACCCAGGACTCACTTCCCGAGACAGCTTCCCAGACAGCCTGACCATGGACAGAGCTCAATGAAGACAGCCTCTCTGGAGTTGAGTAATTCTGAAATTGTTATTAGTTCATTGGCATCAATTAGAGAGTATTCCAGGTAAATATTACATTTGGCCCATCTATCTCCAGAAATATTAGACTTTCAGTGGTGTCCTGGAGCCGGCTTGTACCAGCTTTGTAGAGCAAACTGTGAAATATTCAGGAGTTGTTCAAAGTCGTTGTTAAATCATTAGTAGCTGGAATCATCTACGGAGTGAGTATTTAAGCCATCAAATGTGGTAAAGCCCACAAATTAGCTGGCTGGCTAGCACAACACTGGGCTACACATCCCCTAGTATTTCTGAGGCTGATTAGACATTTATTGAATACATTTAGAAAAGCTATGTAAAGAGTAATATTAGCTCCAAACCTATGGCCACTGAAATTCAGCCCATTTGTTTCCAGGCCTACAATCAGGAATCGCATGTGGCAAAGTCCTCTATTCCAGACAATCCAAAAGTTAGAACACTGAAGATATCTCCCATAATTTTCATAAATTAACTCATCTACTATATAAGAAACCTTCTTCCATATCTCCTATCAGTTACTCCTCAAATTACATGGCTGTAAACTTTAGGACTATTATAATTGTAAGATAATCGAAAGGGATAATATTATTCAAGAAAACATCTGAACTGTTTCTGGAATTGACTAAAAATGGCTTTAATGACAATGACTTAAAAGTAGTGTTTCACAAATAAATGATATGCTATAGTTGGGGGAATATTCTTAAATTCTATTTAAGTGTATTTGTTTTTAATGTGATTCACTACTTTTTTCAATGCTAGTCATATCTATGCCAGGATACATTTCAAACTTGTTTTATCATATTTGTAGGTATCTTTTGTTAATATCTTTTGAAGCGGAATCATGATATTAATACTATACTTTCAGTAAAAATAATTGACTTCTTAATTTATATCACACATGATCCTTTAGTGATTAAACTGTAACTTACAGTAGGAACCTATATTATTAACATAAACAACATATTCCTGATAATATCTAATGATTTTTTGAAAAATCAGAGAAATATAAGAAATTTTTTATTGTTTATATCTATATGCTAAAGGCTGCCCAAGCAAATGTATTTGAATTGATAAATATTATTTGAATATATGAAAGTGCTTTGTTAAAATAAAATTTTATACTAAAATTAAAGCCTAACATTTAGTCAAATTTATAATCCATTGACTATATTTGACATCTAACTTTTCAAAATAATAATATAGTTAATGAACATTTTACACATTTAAAAAATCAGTCATTAATGTTATAATTCATCTTGAATACATGTCAAGGATCAAGAAGGAGTTATGAAAGTCCTATTCTCTATGAAATTTTAAAGATTTGAGGAAATTAAATGTCAAGTACGTTTGACAATCCTATTTGTCCTTAATATAAATAAGAGCACTGTACCTGCTTTTTCTGGAGTACGTGGTGTAAATAATGATATCTGAGCTGATGCTGGCATGCTGTTCCATACACTCACGCAGCTACAGATCACCACTGTGCAAGATCAATGAAAACTAAGGCTCTGTATGATCTTGACAATGTTGGTGAAGTTTAGACACTTCATGACAAATTTGCTAACTGGAGATTTGCAAGAGAGGAATATACACAATTATTTCCGTTTGTTCACAAGTACCACTGGAAAAATAAAAAAAAACAGTTTGCAGCAGTTCAGGAGAATGAGAAAGCAGGAACATGCTCTCCCATTACCGTTTGCAGCAGTTTAGAATGTTTCCAGTGGAAAACTTACTACTGTGGCACATGAACTTGGCAGGCCAATGGAAGAGTACAGACCAACTTGGAACAAGTCGATCATCACATACTCTACGACAAAATGAAGAATGTTCAGCATTCATTAATTCATGTGTATGCCTTCCCCATCGAGTTCATTGAACAACTACTTTCTGAACATGTAGGAAGCGTCAGTCATTATTCTGGGCATTGGAACTGCTGATTGTCCATATGGAAAGAAAGCTGGACTTCACTGTGGGGAAAATTAACTTCTCATGGCATATCTTGAAATACTGTTTGGTTACAGTTGAAGGCTAAAATGATAAATAATAGCATATATTTGAGTGATGCATACTCAGTGCCAGTCACTGTTCTAAAGGTTAAAATTAGTAAGTCTACTCAATTAACCCAACATCTCTGTGGAGATGATCCTATTAGAATTTCCTACTGTAAAGCTGGGGAAACTGCAGTGCAGACAGCCTGGTTACTTGACTGTGGTCTCACAGAAGGAGGAGGAACCGAACGTAAATCTCTGCATTCTGACCTCAAAGACCATATCCTTATCCACTAATATTGTCTCCAAATTTGAATATAACTGTTCTGGAAAGGGACATCCTGCAGCACTTGCAAAGCATAAGACTCATCAGTTGTGCGTAGGTTTTGAGCTCCAGTAAATGCTAAGTTCTGGGATTATAAAGAATCCGAAGATTAACATATAACAGATATAAAAGATAACATCAACATATCAGATGCCTAGATTTCTTCAAAGTTGCAAAACAACTTAGTATAATAGAAAAACACTGGGATGTGTCAAAAGCCCTGGATTGGAGACTAGTTTTCAAAATCATCTAGCCAGGCCTGGTTGAGGGAGTCATTGGAGTTGCCATTTCATTCTCTGTGAAGAGACTGTAGTATCTGTGCTACTCCTCTCACAATATCACTGTGAGAAGCACATCACATCATCAGGTCATGTCTGCTTGAAAATCTTTCGGTGGCCACAGAAATTTACTCAAAGTTTTAGAGGATGTTTCTCTTTGTTGTTGCTGTGTTTAATTTTAATTATTGTATTTTATTTTCCCATAATTTATTAGGGTACAGGAGGTATTTGGTTACATGAGTAAGTTCTTTAGTGGGGATGTGTGATATTTTGGTGCATCCATCACCCCAGCAGTGCACACTGCACCCTGTTAGCAGTTAAATGACTAAAAGCAGAACTACCATTTGACCCAATAATCCCACTACTGGGTATCTACCCAGAGGAAAGGAACTCATTGTTTGATAAAGATACTTGCACACACATGTTTATAGCAGCACAGCTCACAACTGCAAAATCGCAGAACCAGCCCAAATGCCCATCAATCAACGAGTGGATAAAGAGGATGTTTCTGTAAGAATGAGGGTGAAAACACAGAAAACAGGGCACTGGCTGGGTGTCATGGTGAGCAAAGGAGCTGGTGTGGTGTCAGATCAAGGGGACACTGGAACCGGCAGCTCCAGGGAAGGGGCACCTGGCTGCCTTCTCAGCAGAGGAGGGAGGCCCTGGTGTGGCTGGCTCCCTCCTGCAGTGCTGCTCCTCATGCCCATCCCTTCTCATGTCCATCACCAGATGTTTGACTCTCTTTGCATTTTGGAGTTGCCAGTGGAACGAATAAAATCTGTGATTAGAGGGAAAACTTGAAAAGACACAGAGTTGTGAATTATAAGAGAACAAAAGATGGAGAGAAGAGGGCTGGTAGAGAGCAGAGAATCAAAGTAAAATTTAAGGAAAAGAGCAAAACTGTAGTGGTGCTATTAAGTGTTTTAAGGAATTTGATAAACAATCCTTAGTTCCCAAACAAAGAGAGTCCTCTACACTCCAATCTATGCATAGATTTTCAAATTGCCAGTGGAATTTGCAGGGAAAGATAGTTTGATATAAAATACTTATAAAATGTTGGGTTCCAGTGTCACATAAGTCCCTGGGAGAATGAGAGGAGAAGTCTCATTCTTCTGTCCTCTGTCCTCTGCGATACCAAATACAGGCTGAGAGAATAATATTTTCTATACTTTTTTTGGGGAGGAAAAAGTCTTTCTGAAAGAATTTTAGTCTAGCTAATGTAAGTTTTCATTTGTAGAGACAAACACATTCTGTCACATGCAAATGCTCAGAGGGCAAAAATGTGGTCACTAAAAGTACATCCTACAAAATAATTTTTTGATAGTATAACTCATAGGGCTGAGAGATTAATTAAAATGAGGAATTCAAGGCGGGGAAATTTGTAACATAAAATAACAAGCAGAATTCCCTATTAGTCTATGAGAAGAAACACCCAATCCTAGAAATCCTAAATTGCATGCTTACAACCCACATACTTAAAGGAGATTTAAAGAAATGTGAAGAGTTTGGGGCCTCCTTCCACAGTTAATAGCTTCAACAAGTCAAATCTTCATGAATTATTAAACCTCACCAATAAATAATCATGTAAATAATGTAGGTGAACCTAAGAAACAACTATAGAAAATTATCTCCCTCAACAAGATTTATCATCAGATTCAAATATTTAGAAAATGTAAGTACAACTATAAAACAATAGGACTATAGATTATAACTACAAAACAATATTAACTATTTCGAGGAAAAAAAAGAACGGAAATATACTAAAATGTTATGTGCTTATTAGCAAACTGTGGACCAATGATTACTTATTTTATTAATCTTCTTGTAGTTTTAATTTTCCTTCATAAATATATATCTTTCAAATAAAATAAAATTATATAAGAGAGAATTATTTCATGCAGCCAACAGCTGAGGTAAACCCCTCTGGAGCTTAAATGCAAACCTGCATACCAACATCGTATAAGAAACAACCATTTAATTGTAGATATTTCAGGTGCCATTGTATTTAGAAATAGATGGAGATGCACAAAAATCTGCTTTTAAAATTCCAACATGTAGAAACAATATTGCTTTTGTAAAGTCTTATGGGTAGACTCAACAAAGAATTAGAAAAATGACTAAAATGATCAAGGATTTCCATAAAGTACAATGCAGTATCTATGTGAGAGTAAATTAGAACGCAACAATACAGCCTTTCAAAATAACTCGGAATTGGGAGTTAATGTAGGGTATCAAAAATGAAAGGAAGAAACAAATAAAACAAATGAGAAACAACTAATCATGCCCCAAGGAATAATTTAAGTAAGTGGTTGGTGTGGCTTTCAAACTCCTTGAGGAATGGGGAAGAGAACAGTTCATTACATGTTCTATTTGTTAGAGTTAATTACTAGATGGAACTAGACCCCATGCAAACTTTCGATAAATCAAACTAATAAATACTATTCACATTGCCAGTCATACTATAATAAGACAGTCCTATTTACAATGGGTCTGTAAGACACGGAGCCCGAGAGTTGTTGAATCTCCTCTTACTGTCCCCTTTATTTGGTTTCAAAACAACAATATTATGCAACACTTTTAAACTGAAATATAAATGATCTGCTTTTTAAACAATTTGCAAGCTAACTTCTGTTTCTATTGCAACATTTTAAAAATGCTTTTAAAACCAGAGTTAAGGAATTTGACTTTTGTGCCTTCCTGTCTCCTGTGCAAATATCTGGGTATTGTACAACTTAAAGAGAAAAACATACCTATTTAATAAGCTAAAAATTCCTTAATCCTGAACACGTGATTAATTATCCCTGAAGGGCAAAATTAACAACACTTTTTCTTTCCCTGCATATGAAAATTTTGTACGGTTCATTTTTTTTTTTTCTGAAAATACTCGAGTCTTCAAATTCAAAAACAGCATCTACCGTTAGCTCCAACTCCAACTAAAAATTTATCTGCAGGAAAAAAGTCTATCTTGAAAGGTTTTCTAAGCACTATGCATATCAATTCACTAGTCGGGGTATTGCATGCTGGTTCATGTAAAAGATGAAGTTTCTTGATCATCTAAGAGGAAATACAGGCTCACAACTGAGATTACGTTCAAACTCCCGCCAGCTTGTCTGGTATGTTACACAGTGTCAGAAAGCTCATCTTGACCTTCCCCGCCATGGTGACCAATGAGTACCTTGGTACAGATTCCCTTCAAATCACAAAGGGGTGAGGCAATGTGCCACTCAGCTATCTGTAGCACATGCATACGACAGTTTACCAAGCAGCATGTAGGCCCATGGCTGCTTCATTAATTTAATGAATAACATAGTGCCCTCTGTGCAATGGGGTTGTGTTTTCTGTAATATGCGGAAAGATAGCAAGTTGGCTGCATGGAACACATTTATCATTTAAAAATAAATTAGCTGCTACATTATTGTACTGCTTCTTACCACGGTATCAACCATCCCATCAACCTCCCACTAAAATACAATTATTTTACCCAATTAATACATTTATAGTGGCTTTCTACAATAGTTTACTTTTATAAACTCAAAGGTAATGTAAATTTGCTGAAAGTGAAGTACACTTTAAACTTCTTTATCTGTGTGTATGTATCTATATATAACTATATATATCTATATAACTATATATCTATAACTATATATGTAATTATATAGTTATATACACACACACACACACAGACACATATAGTTGTGAAGCTTGCCCCACAGTAATAATGGTAAGATTGTATCATTTATGCTTCTTAAACATATTTACAGGCACAGAGAAGTAATTTATTTGAGAATTACTATTATGAAACTAGAACCAAGAAAAAGAGAATTTCACGTAAATTATAATTTTTAAAAGTACTTCATAACGATATGTAGATAAGTTGATTATAGGATGGCCAGA